GTTTTGGTGTGACAATTATCCATCCATTTGCATAGCTACAGAGTATGTGGGCCTTTGGTGCATCTCTACTGCAACCAGTATAGAATATTTCAGTAGAGCAATTTGAACCCTCTTTTAGCAGTTCAGTTTGTCAGACATTTTTCAGTCTTCATTCTTGTTTTCATCTAGTTTTGCTATGTGCAAGCAGAAGCATCTACACTTGAAAAATGTAAAGTACGTGAAATAAGATAATTTGGCTCCAGTTCCATTTCCAGATTCTTGAGGGACATCACTGTGTCACTTAAAATTGTTTACATGCTGAAAGTGCACAAGAGGAATTTAGAGAATGAATGTGTACACGCCTTCATACCTCAGACTGCAGGCAACACTCAGGTATAAAAGAAATTGGTTAATGGCATTACATGCAATACGGGAAATTCCCCACCCATGAGGGAAACAGTATTTTTGAAATGTGTTGCCTCATAGCTAAATGATACTGCTACCCCAAATTTCCATGAGCCAGTGATCCCTGGAATTGTTTCTGTAAGTTCTTCCTTTACCTTGTGATCACTGCTCCCTGAAAATCATTTTGATGAACATTACTATTTTCCAGTGCTCTTTTTGATGCCCCATCTCATCAGCATATACCAGCAGGATATACTTCAGATCCAGTGGCGTGCTGTAGGAGACTGTTGCTTATTTTTGGTTTATGATGATACCCACCCGTCCCAGCTGAATTCTGGGTCTTCTAACAGTAGATAGCATCCAACCCCTTAGTAGGAGACAGCTCCCAAATAAGCAACCCATGACTACATCATGGAGACACACGTGGACTTTCCCAGGCTAAGGAGCAGATGAGTTTCAAAGTTAGAAATAAGGGCTGGGTCGTCGGACACGTATCGCGCTGCCCTGTTCCGCCAGTTCAGCTGCTTGCTGGTGTGCCCATAAAAAGGGCGGCAGTCTGCCGTGGAGGATTCTCTCTACTTTTTACCATTAGGAAACAAGCACCTTTTTTAGTTCATAATATGCTCAATTACCTTTAGATTGATCCATGAATAAATTATAATCAAAACAGACTTATTCACCTTAAAGCTCTCCCGGCTTAAGGTTTCATTGTTGATTCATTATGTTGTCAGTTCTCTATTGGCAGGGTAATGCTTTTTTATATCTGGATAGAGACAGTTTTAGTGGAAGATACTGTTATCTTTAAATGAGTAGGATTTAGTTTTTCTGGTGAGAACAAATTCATCAATGATGAATCCCTGGAGAAACGACTGAAACAAAAATCACCACGTTGCTGGAGATTTATGCAGTTCATCAGTTAAAAGGCAGCGTTTGGAAGTCTTGGCAGCGGGGAGAATTTGGATTTTTCCTTTCTTTCTGTAAAATACTCCAGCACAATATTTCAAGCTTCCAGTTTTGTGATAATGCAATTATAAACAATGAAATAATACCACTTAATATATTGATTTTGGCCCTATTCTTGATGTTATCCCTCCGATAGCAACACATTGAATTATGGCTATATAGAGACAGATGGATACAAATAATGCAGCTATAGACATCACTGATACAGATTAAGTAGACAAGAATTATCTAATTACTCTGCTTGTTGCAGTCTTCTAAGCGCTTGCTAGGATCCACATATTCATTTTAATTGTTTTTTTTCTAGGCAGATGTTGATATGACAAAGATATCAGTGTATGGAGAGTTTAGTGACATTGGAGTATCTGGAAATTTAAAAAAAAAAAAATGTACTGTAGAAAGATTTCAAAAGCAAAGAGAGTTAAACTCAGCAAGTTTGATGCTTCTGCTTTCATTGGGAATTGTGCTATTAAATCCCCCATGTGCTTAAGAAGATATCCCCTACAACGATTAGAGGTGATTTAATTTTAAACTCTCTTAAATATCCATCTCTTCAGGAGTTATTTCAACATGTTTCCACTTTCACTATATCCAGTAACTCACTTCATTAAAATATTGTTTGCCATTTCATATGGCCTTTGACTCCAAAATGTTTGAAACCCCAGCTCTGAACAATAAGCAGTCTCATCAGCGTTCCCTATATCTGTGCATTACTCACAAGGGGAACCATCAATAAGTCCTTCCTAAGCTCCTGAGGCTATGTTGTCATGTATTATTTATTGTTATAGAAAAGATTGCTGGTTTTCAGTGTTGTTTGATGAAATTTGGCTTGGCTGCTTGTGAACTACTGGACTCCAAACACAAAATAACCAGACCATTTGTATGGGCACACAGTCACCTTCTGTTAAATCAGTGGAAGCTCACTGGGTATGCCCAAGCCTGGACTAACACCTAGGTGTTTCCTTAATTGTTTTAAATTCCATTTAATCAATTTCTTGATAGAAAACCGGCAATGCACAGCAAAGACGAAGGTTGGATGTTAGTTTTCTAGATTAATCGTAATTTCATTTATTTTTAAAAGATAGGGATTATATAGTTTAATTTAACTGCATGCATGTCATTACAAAATATCTAAATTATGGTACTGATCGCATTGCACACTTTTCAAAATGTCTGCTGTACATGCCAGCTAGCAGCTATGTTAGATGTAAAAATCTAAAGACTTCCAGCTCACAATTTAGAAAATTAATTAATTGCCTTTGCAATTCTCTCTTCACCTACACACAAAAATTAATTATGTTTTCCACACTTTTCCTTAGATCACCTACTTAATTTCAGTATACTCAATATTTCTGTCTGTAGAAATTAGGAGATTGGGCACACATTAAGAGAACAGAAAAGTAAAGGGTTTATTCTGCAAAGATTTGGCTATTCTTCCCAAAGATGATCTTCAATCAGTCAAGCCACGAACAACTGTCTCCTCTCTCTACTACTTCAGTTAAAACCTCAGCAAAATTAGCTTTGCTGCTTACTCTGAAAGTCAGCAATTCAATTCCTGGCCAGACAGGGAAGAGTCCAAAAACGCTTTGTCATCAGGTCTCCTGCCCTCTCAAGCCTGGAGTTGTTGGCATCAGCACATACATTATGGAGAGAAAATAGTTTCTCAGTGACACAGCTACTACTTATTCATAGCCAAAATGTATTTCTAATTGATGCAGCCTAGCAGACAGACAAGAGCACCTTTTATCAAAATTTACATTTTTTAGATTTTTCCTAAAAGTCTTAGGCTTCCGAAAAGTCATATAATGAATTGAGTCTTTATGTGTATGCTTTAGAGCCTATTGATTAGATCGGAATTAGACAAATTCTCCTACTCGTTTTCCTGTTTAAAATAATTCTGGGTTTGCTGTCTTATTTGCCTTTGGTATGTAAGGCCACTACCGTACTGCTGTTTGCAGTGATATTTAAAGCCTTATTTTAAGACACGCTAGAACATTTGCTTTCCAAGATCATGTATGGCAACTGCATAGAAAGGGAAGTTTGTTTGACATCTGTAAGGAAATCATTGAACGTGACATTGAGGAACAAAGTTCCCGTTGAAGAGACAAAGCAAGAGCCCTTTGCTGGTGGGCAAACTCGGGCTGCATCCAGATTTGGGACAGATGGGGTCTGCCCCCACAGTTCTGGTCTTGCATTTGCCTCGACTGAGGCTTTGTCCCAGCGTACGGCTCCGTCCCAGCCTGCACCTCTGGAGAGCACGGTGAGACTGCAAGTCTTGGTCTGACCTGAAGTGAAAAATGTGGTGAGGCCACAACCCAAGTCTCGGAAGCAGGGAAGCGTTTCAAGGACCTCACCCTCTGGCTGTACGCTCAGAGAGCCAAAAATCTAGCAGCCAAGAAAGCTTTTATTTGTCATAACAAGAAGCCTGAGGTCCCAAGGCTGGGTATCGTGACTGACAGAGCTCATTGAGGAATTTTTCTCCTAAGGATTAGTAGAAGACCAGGGTAAGCTCTTCTGGATTTATTTCATTTTAAAAAATAATAATTTCTAAATTTTTAAATAAATCTGGCTTTAAAATTCACATTGAAATTCCCTCTTAAAAAATTGATAACCACAGCAGTACTGTATCTTGTTCGATATGCTCTTTGAGGTTGTATTATTAGCGTGAATTAATGCTAGCAACTGCTGAGGCTATGTATCCCCTGTTACTACCTGCTAGTTTCTGCAGTAGTGCAGTAGCTTCTGAACGGGGTTTAGTTAGGTGGATAAAATACTTTTGCAGAATAAGGAGCTAGTTTCAGGGGAGGAAGGGCATGGTCTTTTACAGCAAGCAAAAATCCATGTTTTCTACCATTTTTCCTTCACCTAAATCTGCGATTGTGGCACACTACAGTTGTCCGTCTCTCTGCTAGGTAAGCAAAGGGAGTTTTTCTTTCAGGAAGCTGGGTGTTATGAAATCTGAACCAGCACTTTCATGTTCTTGGGTGAGACACGAGTTTTGCGATTCAGTGAAATCTTCCTCTAGAGTTTGCTTAATTGCATTGAAGGATTAAATGTTGCAGAAAAGACTGCAAGCGGGACACAGAGGTAAATTAGGAGATTGGAATGTGTTTCAGTTCATTTGGTGTTTGTTAGCCTTACTTTGACAGGTCAAGACAGCCTTCTGTTATCAGAACACAAAATACATGTTTGTAAGCTTTAAAAATATATATTGATATATTCAGATATCCATACAAATAATCTTAAACACTGGTGGAACCCTTCTAAGTAAACTGATGGTTTTATGATACCTTTCCACATACTATAGAAATAAAGTTACACATTTGAATTATTTAACATGATACATTTTTTACATATAAGCAAGTATGCAATGGGGAAATATAAGACTGGTGGAAGCTGACCTGCAATTCAGCTATTTTTCTGCTGTGATATATTAATATTTTAATACTCAATATATATTTTCAAGTCAGATCCTGAAGTTCATATTTGATTTTTATTCACTTCTCACTCTGGTACCGTCTCACTGATTTCAATTTCAACTTCTTGAATAAGAAACCAGTCGCACTCAGCAAGGACTTAGGATCTGGCCCCTGGCATCGGACTCACCTTTTTGCTACACCTGCTCACTTAAGCATGTTTCCTGATTTTTGTTTCAGAAACTACCCAGTTTTGGGCCTTACCTGGAACAACGCAAAAAGATAATAGCTGAGAACAAGGTTAAACTAAAGGAACAGAGCATGGCTGCTGTGCTTCCCGAGAAAAAGCATTTCATTCCAAAGAAGCCCATTCCAGCAATCAAGGTAACAAAAATACATGCTTACGTATAAGAAATGATCAGCCATCAGGCGGTTGACATGCACAGTCATTTCTAGCAGTTTGAGTTGGTTATTACTGCTTTTAAGCTTGTTAGAGGGCATCAAACACAACTATTTATGCAGACTTTCCAGCTTTTAACCAAAATCAATGGGAAATGATTTGTGATGTACGTGTATAGGTATTTCCCTAATGTCATTTTTCAAAACGAAGATATTTAGGCAATGGAACGGTAATTGTAGAACAAGGCATGGCTAATGCCCTGAAGACCGAAGTAGAACTGTTAACCATTTCTTTCAGTTTGACTGCTACAGTATGAGCTCAGTTTTGCATGATACCTTTTGATTACTTGCGATGTGCTGAATACCCCCATCTCTCATGTAGGATCAGTGGAAAAGGTTGGTGTTCAGTACGTATGAAAGCTGTGTCATAGGTTTTCAGACTGAACTTTTAAAGCTGGAGAATGTTTGTCTAAATAGCTGATCCGCTGTCTACAGTGAGTAAATGTCAAGGTGAAAATAAAACCTGTGACCCCATCTACTGCATAATCCATACATTGGAGCTTTTCCCTTCCCTAAGGTAGCCAATAAATGTCAATAAAATGAAACATCAGAAGCTAATTATTCTAGGTGTTCACTTTAGACCTTACTTAAACTTCATGTCTGAATAGGAAAAAGAAGCAGGCAACATTTTTTTTTTCTTAAATCAGGTTTCACATGTAGGCCCTTTTAGAAAGCAATGTGAAAATTATATCTGTTGAGCTTGTTAACTGTCTTCCTCATACATGTGAGAATATCAGATACCTACAGATAGGTAACTTTCACTGTATGATCAGACCTGTAAGAATTCTTGCAAAAATAAGGCCACACATAAAGTACAGTACGAGTGGTGGCTCAAATTAACACAGGATATCCAAGGGAATTTTTCAGTTTACCAACACATGTGGTATTCCAAGCTGACTGGTAGAACTGCAAAACCAGCCAGGGATAAATTTTGAGTCATCTTCCTGTTTAAGTTAAATAGTTTGCCACTTCTGTAGACCTCTCTCAGTTTTTTGCACTGCTTATTTTGGTTTATGTCACCCTATTGAAAATCGCTCCCCTCCTCTTGTGCTGAGGTTCCCTTCTTCATGTATACAAACAGTTCCAAAGAACAGCAATCTACTCTTTTTTCCCCACTATGATGAGCATTTTCAAAGCCTACTTGACCTCAGAGGTTTTCTGGTTCTGTTCTCTTTGCAGGGAGA